GCTTAACCATCTGAGCCACCCAGGCGCCCTACTCGACTTCTCTCAAGGAAGGTTTGTTTTGTTTTTTTTTCCTTTGTTCTGGGATCCCATCCAGGACACCACATTACACTTAGTTGTCAGTCCATCTCCTTAGGCTCCTCTTGACTGTGATAGCATCTCAGACTCTTCTTCTTCTTCTTCTAAGATTTTACTTATTTTTCAGAGAGAGAGAAACAGAGCACAGCAAGGGGGGCAGCAGGGAGAGGGAGAAGCAGGCTCTCTGCTAAGCAAGGAGCTGATGCGGGACTCGATCCCAGGATCCTGGGATCATGACCTGAGCCGAAGGCAGACACTTAACCAACTGAGCCAACCAGGCATGCCTCTTCTTGTTTTTGATGACCTTGACAGTTTTGAATAATACTAGTCAAGTATTTTGTAGGATGCCCCTCTAATGGAAATTGTAACTTGTCCAGTGTTTTTCTCATGATTGGATTGGGGTTACAGGTTTTTGGAAGATCACAGAAGTGCAGAGCCATTTTCATCAGATCACATCTATCAAGGTTACAATCCATTGACATGATTTATTGATGAGCTCAGGTCACATGGTAACTTGTGACTCATGGAGAAGCACTCCCTCTCTAGTAAAGTCCAGTATCAGGCCGAAAGCTGTTTCTCAAAAGGAGAGTCATTTCCACAGAGGATAGCGGGGCTTTAGTCCCAAATCCTAAGATTTGCCTTGTGATTCACTTATAAATGCTTGCCAAAGATTCTAAATAGCGGTTCTATCTGCCACTGCCACTTCAAGCTCCACTGGATCTACTGGATCCTATGACCCAAATGTCAGAGCAACTTGCACAATTGCCTGGACCTGTGGCAGAGACTTCTCTTTTCTCACTAGGTGTTGTGCCTCTTCCTTTAGTAGTTACTTCCTTTAGTAACAACTTCTTCACCTTAGAAGTGATATCTGGATATACCCCATACCACAGGACCCCTAGTAATTTCAGGAAGGCCCTTGAATTTTGGAGGATTTATTTTCCATCCTCCGATGCGCAAATATCTTACCAATATGGGTACAGTAATTGCTACTTCCTGCCTACCAGTGCCAAACAACATATCATCTTCAATATAATGGACTAGTGTGATTTTCTATGGAAGGGAAAGGAGGTCTTTGCAGATTAAATCATGACACAGGGCTGAAGAGTTGATATATCCTGTGGTGGGACAGTGAAGGTGAATCACTGGCCTTGTCAGTTGAAAGTTAATTCCTTCTGGTAGGCTTTTTCAACAAGTATAGAGGGAAAAAGCATTTGCCAGATCAGTAGCTACATACCAAGTATTAGGAAACGTGTCGATCTGCCCAAGCAATGAAACCACATTTGGAATAGCAGTGCAACTAGAATCACCACATAATTCAGTTTATGAAAATCCACTGTCATTCTCCAAGATCCATCTGTCTTCTGCACACGCCAAATAGGCAAGTTGAAAGGGATGAAGTGGCCATCACAACCTCTCCAACCTTCAAGTCCTTGATGGTAGTGCTAATCTTTGCAATCCCTCCAAGAAGGTGGTATTGCTTTTGGTTTACATTTTTATAGGCAGAAACCATTCTAGTGGCTTCCATTTGGCCTTTTCTACCATAACAACCTTCACTCTACAGCTCAGGGGATCAACGTGGGGATTCTAATAGTTACTGAGCGTGTCTATTTTAATTACACATTCTAGAACTGGGGAAGTAACCACAGGATGTGTTCAGAGACCCACTGGGCCTAATGTGAGATGAACCTGAGCTAGAACTCCTTTAATCACTTAACCTCCACAAGCCCCTACTCTGGCTCGTAGACACAATGATGTTGTGGGTTTCCACGAATCAGTGTCAAGTTAGAGCCATTGTCTACTAATCTCCCAAAGTCTGATTATTTCCTTCCCTGCAGTGGGCAATCACCCTGGTAGATGGCCATAGGACCCTTTGGGGAAGACTGGGAACAAATTAATAATATACATTTTTAGCAATGGAGCAAGGTACTTCCCCAAGAGGACTTGGCCTCTCCTTCATTCAAAGAGTTCTGAGTGTATAAACTGGCTCAAGTATGGAAAATGATAGAGGGGCTGTGACGCTCTGTTCTGGTGGTGCAAGTTAGGACTTCTTTTTGCTAGACCTAGAACTCTTCTGCTAATACCAAGTATGAATTTAGGAGATTGTCCATTTCTTTTTTTCCCTAGGGACACTATGATCAACTGCCAATGTCATAGGTCTCTGCAAGTCAGACAATTCTGATTACTGCTTCAGTTCAGCTGTACAGCTGTTACAGTAACGACTCCCATCCAGTTTTTGACAATTAATGCCACCTCTTGGTCCCTGCCAACGTAGGATCCCATTATCTGCACTGCATTTAGGAATCCCAGTTTGATGGCGGTAGTTTCCACCAGGATCCCACTATCCCCACTGCATTTAGGAATCCCAGTTTGATGGTGGTAATTTCCAAGATTTATCTGAATACAGAGAAAAGCAATTGCATATCTCTTCAAAGATGCTGGGGCTTCACTCATAGATTTACTTCTCACAGTCATGAAGGGTAATGTCCTTTGGACCCTCCTGGGGTGGGTGAACAGGTCTTACATGATAAATCCACACTAACATGTCAACCCCCTTGCCCCCAAGCCTTTGGATACCTTCCTCAATAATATCCTAGGCAGTTCTGGCACTTCATTTAGTGTAGGTACTTTGGGGAGGATGGAAGTCAACTGATCAACAGGGTTTTGCTTAGGTCCTTCTCATAGTGGGCCCAGTGGGTCCCTAAACCCATCTTATGATGGTTTTCCTAGATTTACATGCATAATAGAAAAAGACATACTCAGCAACCATTCAAACAAACTGTTAAGCTTTTTCTAACCCTTGGAGATAACATGTTGTATCTAGAATATCTGCTTGGTGGGCCCTTATCAGTAAATTCAGCCTGATAGAATTTTGTAAGTCTTCATCTTGATCTGTTAGTTTCCTAGGGCTGCTACAGCAAAGTACCACAAACTGAGGGATTAAAAAAAACAGAAATTTATTCTCTTACAGTCCTGGAGGACAGCTGCCTGAAATCAAGTTATTAGCAGGGCCACGCTTCTTCTGAAGGCTCTTTGGGATCATCTTTCCTTGCCTTTTCCTAGCTACTAGTGGCCCCCAGCATTTCTCTGCGTATTGTTACAACACTCCGATCTCTGCCTCCATCTTCATATGTCCTTATTTCCTGTGACTATATATTTCTGCACCCTCTCCTCTTATAAGGACACCCATTATGACCTCATCTTAACCTCATCTACAAAGACCCTATTTCCAAATAGGTCACACTGAGATTCCAGATGGACATGAATTTTGGGAGACATTATTCACCTCACTATAATCGCACATCCTTAATAGCCACTGGAAATATAACTCCTATATTCTTTTGCATGCTCTGAGTGTTTTTAGCATGTGTATTTATTTTTCAAAAAAGGAAAAAACCCACCCTATAGTTCTTTGCTTCAAAATACAAACATTTACCCCCATTTTCCCAGTTTTTTTGAGAAATAATGGATACACATCACTGTTATGAATTTAAGGTGTATAGCATGATGGTTTGATTTACATATATTGTGATATGATTACCGTAATTGGTTTATTAGTAACCATCATCTCATATAGATACAAGAAAAAAAAATCTTGTTATTAGAATTCCTAGGATCTACTCTTAACAGCTTTCCTATGTATCATACAGCAGCGTTAGACATAGTCATCACGTTGTACATTACATCCCTAGTACTTCTTTATCTTATAACTGGAAGTTTGTGCCTTTTGACCACTTTCCTCCAATATTCTTGGAGGAAGAAATATTCTTTCCAACCAGTTTCTCCCTTTGATGCCCACTACTATCTAGTTTCCCCAAACTGGACTCCCAGTCTTGCCCTTTCCCAATCTTTTCTCTAACAAAGTGATCTTTTAAAATAGTCGCCACCTTCCAACTTTTAGCGAGGATCAAGCACAAGCTCCCTCCCTAGCCTAAGGAAGCTTTTCTCCATCTGGTCTGCAGCATCCTTCTTCCAGTTTCATCTTTCAGTAAAATCTCCTGCTACCCACCTGTTTTGTCCCCGAATACTTGCAGGTTTCTGAACTGCCCATGGGTTCCCTTCCTCCATACCATGGTCCTGCACTCTGCTTTGGTAATACCCCTTGCACCCCTGACTGCTCCTCATCTTTAGAGGCTTCTCCTCTATTCTCTCTCCAGAGATGAAACATTTCGCTCTCTCCTGATCTTTGAGGTTTCTTAACATTTTTCCCTTTGCTCCTTTTCCCCTTACATCAAATTTCACTTTAAAGAATACAGCCCACACTGTTTGTGCTGAGCTTGCTCAACTGCACAGTAGAACCAGTTCACCCTTCCGCCCTCACAGTGGGGAGGGACCTAACTCCCAGCCCTGGAGCGACAAGCTGACCCCACACCCAAGACCAAAGCTCTCCGGGCTCGGGGGCGGGTCGTGACGGAGCTGTCACTCGGGGAAGGCCAGGCAAGCCGCACATCACTCAGTCTTCCCACATCCTTCGTTTTCTGGTTGACGAAACCCCGCCCGGCTCTGAAGCCCAGACTGACACTGCAATGTGCTCAAAAGCGTTGGCGCTCTTCACTCCCTGGGCTGGCCTTCCTCCTCACCGAGGATGCGTTCCTCCGCTCGTCCAGTGTTTTCCGTTCCTCTCCCGTCCCGGGCGGGCCGCAACATCCAGGGAAAGCCAGACGCGCGGGGAACTCCAGGAAGGACCAGCCGTGTGGAGCATGCGCAGTGTCCGCGCCCTGCACGCCGGCCTAATCGCCCACGGCTCAGCCGGCGCAGCAGCTTGCGCAGGCGCCGCGTCCAAGGGCTCCCCGCCCACCCCGTCCTAGCGGGCCACACCCCCTCATCGCGGGTCAGAGGCCGCGGGGCGGCAGGCGGTGACGCGTGCGGAAGCGTCCCGCGCAGCCTCGGAAGCCCGCGAGCTGTAGAGCGGCGGCGGCCACGGCCGGGCGCCCCGACGGGAGGGGCCCTGGATCGCTCGGAGGCGGCCGAACCGGTGTGTCGCCGCCGCCGCCGGCGGCCCCATGAGTCGGGGCACCATGCCCCAGCCCGGAGCGTGGCCGGGCGCAAGCCGTGCCGAGAAGCCGGCGCGGGAGGCGGGGGCCGCGTCTCCGGGCCCCGCGAGAGCCGCGGCGCGGGAGGGCGGGAAGGCGGCGGCCGGCGGGCAGCCGCGGATCGCGGTGCGGTGCCCAGCCGAGCAGTGAGTCGCGGGGCGCAGCGGGGACGGGCGGGGTCGCCGGGCTTGTTCCCCTCGGGAAGGCTGGGCGTGGGGTGGGCTGGGCTGGGCTGGGCTGGGGAGTAGCCGGCGGAGAGCCCTTCGCATCCTCGGTTCTGGGTAAGGTCGTCGGCGACGGAAAGGAATTCGAAGACACTCGTATCCAGTGTCCGTACAAATATTTTTTCGCAGGGCCCGGGGTCTCACAATTCTGGTCACCCAGTGCCCCCTGGTTTTACATCTGAATAGCTCTAAAGTTAAAACAAAGCTCCAGGAACTTGGGAAACAAACCGGAAAAGCGTACTGTTACAACTAACTCCCAGTGAATCTTTCCTCCGACTTGGTTGGGGAAGGAAGTAAGGTTGCTTCTATCACAGCCAGAGGAAAACTGAACCATGCGACAAGTTTGTTCTTGGAAGGCAAGTCGCCGCTTGATGAGCGCCCCACCTGTTGAACAGACTTTGGACGGAGTCTGATCGAATTGTCTTTTGCCCATTAACGGCTTAACTAGCTGTCCCCTCCCCCTTTATTTTTAAATACGAAAGGCAGCGCTGGTTGGGTCAATTATTTAGTGAATTGTAAAGAAGGCAGCATAAAGGCAGGCGTTTGTAGCTTTAGCAAGGGCCTGGGAGTGAGATGGAAGCAGAATAGGGACTTGAAGGCTGAAACTTTTTCTACAGCTTCAGGTTCTAGGCACATATAAATGCTTTTGAATTCCAAAATTGATGAAAGCACTCATAACCATTTTGACAGATAGCTTAATTGGCTGGCAAGTGGAATTGTAAGGTGTGTTCAAATGTGATGTTGTTGTTGGCGTTTTCTGAAAAGGGGTCCTTGGCAGGCCTGCTTTGCAGGTAGTGTATTACAACGTTGATGTGCATGGTCTTTACTATGGGCGTTGACATTCTCATTTATTGAGCACCTAAGTCCTCTGGGATGGTATTATCCACACTTAATGTGTTAATGGCTACTGGGAAAGATTTTGGAGTAGGCAGTCTCAAACTCCTGACTATGCAGGTAACCTAAGTGAGTGCAGCTGACCAGGTGTGGACCATGGGTTTCTGGAGAGCTGTGTCCATCACCGTTGGGGTCAGAGTCCACTAAGTTCTACCCTCTGCTTGCTGGATTTTCTGTATTTAAAGAGTCCAAATATCCTGAATTTTTAATGAAATATCCTGATTTTTAAAGAGTAGCATTTTATTTTTTAACTGAAACCACTGTGCAGGCCCATGTGTGAGCTGATGTGGTTGGTCTCTGGCTGCAGGTTTGCTCTCTGGGTTAGAGAACGACCTCAGACTCTGCAGAGGGTAAAGTAGGATGGGCAGTGGCGGGGAGTGAGGGGGCGGGGTGGGGGGGAGGTCTTCTGCTTCTGCCCCTCCAAAGTCCATGCTGGTTTCTAACTGCTGCTGACTTCCTCTTGCCCTGGTGGTCAGAGCTGTGACTCCCCGGTTAGAGACCCTCCCCCTCAGAAGTTGCACTTTAGCCTTGAGTGGAGCATTCTCATGCCCCTTTGAGATGCAGAAACTTTGAAGCCAGAACCATGTTCCTAAAAGTATTCATAGTTACTTGGCAAGTTTTTCTGCTGGATGTGGTTTCCAGAGTCAGAACCTGGGGAAATAGGCCCATGGTGGGAAGGAGCACTCTTTCCTGATGAAAAGATTTTGAGGCGCACCCCTTCTTACTGCTGTCAGTAGATTTATGGACAGTCTGAAAGGAATCTAAGAAAAAAACCCAGCCTTGGTTTGTCATTTACACATAGGAAGCTGAGTTGCAGATTCCAGAGGTGCTTCTTGACCAGGGAGACGGGGAGTAGGTTTCAGGGCCAAGTTCCCTGATGCCTTGGTGGGAACCTACCTCCATCTTTTTCTGGCTTTTTCAGCAGAATCAGGCAGAGGAACATGATTTATAATGACCTCTCCCCTTCCCTCCTCTAGCTCACTTGAGAGCTGCCGTTGGCTGGCATCCCCTGGACAAGCCCTAAGGATGGCTCACAAGATGACTTACGGTCTGATTTGAAGAAGTCTTAGGTCACACCAGATTTGGTTGACTTCTTGGAGCTTCCTCACTGTTTCTGTGAGCATATCTGCTGTGCTCTATCCCCTGCTCACCCCACCCCTGCATTTGAAACTGAGGCTGTGTCCAGTTCTTGCCTTTAGCTAAGTAAGCTACCGTCCTTGAGGACCAAGATGGTCCTGAGACATGATCGGTGGCCAGGCTAGACATGCTTAGGGAATTGAGAAGCAAGTCTACTTCAAGGCCAGTCTTTGTCTGCCTGATGAGGGGACGTGGTTTGAATCTAGGGTCCATATGCTGACTGTGTGTGGTGGGGAGGAAATGTCCGTGAACCCCTCTGAAATTGAAGGTGAAATTTTATGTGTCTTTGTTTTTCTGGGCTGAGGTTCTGATGAAAGCTATGGATTTTCAAAAGGGCTGTGAACAACGAGTTTCTAAACCATTGTTCTTGGGTGTTGCTAAATGTGCTGTTGTGCGAAAGTGTTTTCCCACTCGCCTCACTCCTTAGCTCCCATGGGATATGTTTGATGGGGTACCAGCCACTCCCTCCTGCCCCTTCTCCCACCTGGAAGTAAAGACTGTTTCAGACCTCATTGTTGAGGATGTCTGAGTTGTCCCCAGCTACCTCTGGAAGTCACGTGGAGTAGCATGAGCCAGTCATGGAAAGTCCACTTGCAGAAGGGAGATGGAATTTTGGCTTGGGTGCCGGTACTTTCCTGCATTTGATGTGTTGTTCACCCATCTCTACAACCGCTAAGTGGTAGAGAAAGGCTGGGTTGAGTGGTCTTTGCTTTTCCTGTGCCTTTGTGGGAAGGTACATTGGTGTCACAGTGGTTGACACTGTCTTACCAACACTGCCTGGGCTGTGGGTCTTATAGGGTAGGCCACGTTAAGCATGAACTACAGTGTTCGAGTTCAGAAAGCTGAACAAAGCCATACTTAGCTTTTTTAGACAACTAAGGGGGACTTAATGCAAATGTTCATAATGGTGAGTGATTACGATGCTGTCTTGTTAGTTTTGCATATATGTTAGAATTGACTTTTTTCATATTACATGTATCAGAAATGGAAAAATTGGCTCTACAGAAATGTCTTGCTTCGCTGAGCTCTGTGTTTCTAGTTGATAGCTTTTGTTCTTGGCAACAGTATAATTTTGTCTCTATGTAGTAAGCATTTTTTAATTAAATTTTGAAACATTTATTGTTATGCAGGTCTTTGAACAGAGCAAGAGAGGTTATAATTTGGTCTGCAAAATCATGTAATTTCTTCAGTCATGTATATTGCCTTTATATTAAGAATAAAATATTTCATCTCTAGCTTAAGAGAAAACCAGAGCTTGAAAATACACACTTTAAAATTACTACGTGCTAAACTAAGAATTTTCTCAGTAGAACTTATTAGGATTTTGGTTTTAAAATTGAGCATGACTCACATGCCGTTGTCCCCAAGAAATCGAGTCACTTTTAGGACTTTGTCTTACCTTTCTAGCTATCTGTATGTTTTCTAGAAGGAAACCTTTTGCCATAGTGATCATTTGAGTCTTTGGGTTTCAGTGCCCTCTTTAGTACAAAATGGTAAGCACTCCCCATCCCCACCCCAACTTGACATATAAACACAAAAGATTACTAAATTTCTGAAACTGGTCAGCATCGACGATTTCATCTTACAATGCAATATCCTTTTTCTTTTCATTATTCCACTGTCTTCCCTTCTCAACAAAAATTCAAACCTCTAGTTTAAATATAATAAATATACAACAAACAAATAATATATAAATATAAAATATAAATATATATGTGTAATATATAAATCTTTTATTTTGTCATTTTCAGCCTTAATATTTTGATACTTAAAAAGGTTAAAGCAAAAGATTATTGAGTGAGCTATTTTCTTAAATAAAATTTTTATTTTTCTTGTTCTCACAAATCTCCCTCTCTCTCTCTCTCTGGTTGGTTGTCCTTATGTTGGATGACTGTTTTATTTTGGCTGTTAAGTATCTTCTTTCCTGACCATAGTCATTGAATATATTGCTTGAACTTAAAATTTATTCTCTCTCCAAGGAATTAGAGCTTTAGTATCATTTTTAAGGTGGCCTTTAAAGGCCATATTACAGTTTCCTTAGTGGCCTAGTGAAGTTAGCAAATGTCCTTGGATACTTGTCATTGGTGGCCAGGGAAGTTAGCAAACATGTGTGCACAGGATCTGAATGAAATCTGGTTGTGGTTAAAGTAATTTGCACGCTGGCCTCCCATTTACCCATTTCTGCTTTGCTGCTTTTGTATCTCTTGAGTCAGTGCTTTTTTATTTCCAATAATCTTCCTTTCTACTCTGTCTTCCCTCCACATTTAGTTCTCATGTTGATTTCTTTTCGTTCCATTCCTCCTGGCCTTTGTGGGAATTTTTATGTGTGGCTGTACCAAGAGATGCTTGTTTGGAGAACTTCCTCTGGGCACTGGTGTTGCGATTGCATTTGGGGTATTTTGCAGATTCAAAGGAAGAGGGCAAAGGGGGAGGCAAATGTGCCTGTAGCAGAGCCACAGAATTCGCTTGAAGTACAATCTTTAACAACACGTAGATTCATAGTCTGGTAGAACTTAAGACCTGGGAGAGGAACCGTCTGGATCGTACAGATCTTGTCCTCTCTTCTCACTTTGAAGATGAGAAAAACTATGGCCCAGATTAGGGAAGTGGCTTGCCTGAAGACATGCGTCTGATGATGTCAAGAAAGTAGTTCACTTCAGTGCTTGTTTTGTAGGCTCAGAGTTTCTCTCCGATTTGATAAAGCTGGGAAGGAGGCCAAAAGATATGATGAAATTATTAAAAGAAGAACTAACACATGTAGTCACTTTTGATTTTAGGCATTTGTTATATAGTCCCTGTGAATCTGGTTCCGGTTTGCTTTTACCCCTGGCCATGGGCTTCCTGGGTGACACCATACTTTTTACTTGGAATCTCATGGGGGTCAGGGAACATGGAAAGTACCTTTTCCTAATATGTCCCCTCAGCCCTACGGTATTTTAAAAAATAGGCACACACACCATTACCTTTATTTAGAGAGAAAAAAAAGGAATAAGAAATGACATTGTGTGAATTGTTTGTTAGTACTGTGCACCAGTGGTGTAGTATGAGAATAAGAGTAGCAAACTTTTTGGAGAGCTGATAGTTTACATGTGTCCATTTTCACAACAGTCTTTTGAGGTGAGTTCTCTCACTCCTTTTTACAGTGGTTACATTTAAGTGGTTAAATTTAGGCACGGAGAGGTATAGTTACTTCAATTCCATGGTCACACATGCAGGGCGAATGAGGGCTGGAGGGAGGAGTGGTTAAAACCTGACCTTGTCACTTCTGGGTCCCTGCTCTAGCCATGGCATTCTATAGCCGGGTCACCCATACCACGTGTGTCCGGATGTCTTAGGCAGTGAGCCATTCCCAGCAGAGGGAATGGATTGAGCCAGTCACAGGTGTAAAAGCATAGGCTAAGTGTTGGTCAACTGTTTGGACTGAAGCGGGGGTGTGTGTAGAGGAATCATGGAATACAGGCTAGTGTGGTGGGTTGGGTCCACCACATGAGAGACTTCCCTGCTTATTTGGGAATTAAAGGGTTTCAGTGAGGTGGGAAGAAGGTGAGTATGTTCGATTTCCCACTTCAGTCTGCTTCTCACAGTACCCTTCTTCATCTGCTCACCTCTTCCTTTTTCCCCCTGCTACGCTGGGCCGTGTACCAGGAGCTGGGCTGTCAGGGGATTTGGGGCTGGGAGTATCTCAGGTCATTCACTTAATTCCTTATTTGTTACTGACCTTATTAATGCCTTCCCATGTTTCCTTGTGCCTGGAGCCTCTGTCTTGTGTGGAGATTGGGCTGTGCTGTCATGGGGAGGAAGCATAGGGAATTGGGGCTCTGGTTACACTTTATGTGGACGTCGGCCAGTTGCCTCGCTGTCAGCTCTGGGGGTCTCCTGTACCCTGCGAAGTACTTGGCCCTGTCAGTCCCTGAGCCCCTCTGGGGTGTTCTGCAGGTTTACCGTCTTACCATCCAGCAGATGTTCCTTCACTGGCATGGAGGCTCTGTTGTTCTTGGTCATTTACTGTTTCTTTGTCCCCTTTTGGACTGTTTGGGCTTTCACATGTCTTGTGGTTTTAGTAAAGATAGGGTTGGTATTTCTGTTTCTCCTCATTGTCAGGCTGTGGCTTATCTTGAGGGGTAAAGGCGATAGTCCTTGTCTAGCACCCAGGGGGCTTTTTTTCCTTTCTGGTACATAGGTTCTTGTTCACTCACTAGATGAGACTAGAGACTTAAGAACGAAGTCAGTCAGAGTGGCAGCACTTCAAGTATGCGGGACGGGAGGGATGTGCTCAACAGAATGTGGCTGGCTGCTTCAGAGTGGGGGGTCAGGGAGCAGGAGGAGCCTTGGGAGGTTTTTGAGCTTTGGGGATTTACAATAATTGATGTTCTCCTATCCTTGTTTTTAAAGCGGTGATTGTAAAATTTGCTTGTGACATAATAAAGCACTTGGCCTTCATTCCTGTGTAAATACTTTTATTAGTACTGTCTCCATTCTTGGAACTTGATAGGATCGTGACAGGGCTTCATTGATAAGACACATGCTAGGATGCTTACCAGTGTGGTTGAGCCCACATTAATAGATGTTCCAGTTAAAGAGGCCTCAGAGCCATGTAGCCGGTGGAGTGATGTTAAAGTGTCTCATTTAAATTAAGAAGCTCTGAAGTGGAATGGTAAAAGCATGAGCATCCGAGATTTAAGATCCATATTTATATCAGATCTTCATCAATGTAATATGAAAAAAGTTAAATGTTTCGTGTCTGATAAATTTTTTAAGCAAGTGCATATTGTAATAGGGAAAATGTCAGTTCAACAAATTTTTGAAATGTCTGATTTGGTGTGATTTCAGTGAGGAGGACATGTATCGTGACGCGGATGAAATAGAAAAGGAGAAAGAATTACTTACACATGAAAGAGGGTTATCAGGTATGTTTGGAATTGTTTTCTTCATAGAGTTCTTACTATTTACAGTAGAAAATGCAGTAAGTTGATATATCCATTTTCATAAAATGCTGAGATGTGCTTCCTAGGAAACATTCTTATGCATACGGTCTTAGCTGCATCTAATTATTCATTTTGCTGAGGTATGTTTGGGGAATACTGTTTCCTGAGGTTTTAAAATTGTAATGCAAATATTCTCCTTGTGTTCTTTACATTCACATCATTTTTGCACCTGTGAGGATTTGTTCACTCTCTTGACACCACCCTCTCTCAGTCCGTGATTTCCCTTCCTATTCTTAGAGGGAGTGTTTGGAGTTGAAATGCACTTTTCACTTTAAATGGAAGGACTTCTTGGGAAGCTGGCTCCCTGTGTCTTTGCACACACATGGCCATGTGAATTTGGTTGACTTGTAGAAAAAATGATCATGGGGTCAGCACGAATTCTCTCATCATGTCATGACCTTTTGTCCATGTTTCTGCTCAGTCAGGCCTGCTCTTTTGCCCCCACCCCTCAGAGCCCCGTACCCAGGGGCCCGTTGCTGCTAGGGGGAGGCAGGACCCCTGGCTGCCTGTGCTGCGGGCAGGCCCGACTGGGCTGTCTGTGGAGAAGAACCCCCCCACTTCCCCGGCTAGCTTGGGCTGGAGCTGAGGGGGTGCTGCACTGGGGAATACGCCAGAAGTGACTTGCAAGTGGCATTCTCTCTCATGACCTGCTGCTGGTTAGTTCTGAGCACTAGCTTGCCTTTGGTTTATGGTTAACAAAAATACTGTCGTGTGTGTAGTCAGGAACAAACGATACAAAGTGGGGTTTTTGATCATTTTCAGGTCTTTCTTGAGTCATCCTCCCAAGGAATTGGCGGAACTCTTTACTGTGGTAGCCACAGCAGACCAGCTTCTCTGTAGTTGTCCCATCAGGCAAATTCCCGGGCCCCCCCGTCCCGGGCCTCCGTGAACTGCAGAGGATGCTCGGTTTCTGCTGCCGCCGTTGCACACCGTTCACTTCGGACTGGAGTCCTTGTTAGTCGTAGTCCTGAGGAGAAAGTGCTGCCTCCGTCGTTGTGTGTCCGCGCTGCCTTTGCAGGGACTCTTGCTTTCTCTGTCACTCTGCAGGTGCTCTGCTGTGGTTCGCCCTGTCCGCCGGGGAAGCCCTCTCTCCGCAGGTGTTGTAGCTTCTCAGAGAGCTGTGTCATTTCCGGCTCTTGTCTGAGGTTGCATCTCAGTCCTTCTGGGTTCTTGTCCTTGCTGAAGTAAGATCCTTTGGAAGTGCCTCTGTAAGGGTCTGACCGTGGGCAGCTCTGTTTGCTTGCAAATTTAATCTTATCTTTCTTTTTTAAGAACTGCACATGAGCAGTTTAATCTTATTGAAGATGGGTAGTTGACAGTACTGCGGTCAGACTCATCCTTGGTAGATAATATGTCAGGTTTTTCTGTCTTCTGTCTGTCTTCAGTATTCTGCAGTTACTTTCTGCTGTCTGTTAAGTGTGGACTTTTAAAAACCTGCTGCTTGAGGTCTTTTTGAATCCCTCGATGCCTAGTTTTCATTAGTTTGGGAGAATTCTCAGCCATTATCTTATTCTCTCTACTTAACTCCTTCCAGAACTCTAAGTAGATGTTTGCTCACCTCCTTCAGTCATCTGAGGCTCTTCATGACATGCCCTTTCGTAGATATTTTTATCTTGTAGCCTCTGTTCCATTCTAGACAGTTTCTTTAGGTCTATTTTCTTTTTTTTTTTCTTTTTTGGAAAAGTTCTGGGGGCGCCTGGCTGGCCCAGTCAGTGGAGCCTGTGACTCTTGATCTCGGGGTTGTAAGTTCAAGCCCCACATTGGGTGTAGAGATTACTTAAAAATAAAATCTTAAAAAAAGAAAGAAAGAGAAGTGCTGTTTTCTCCCAGATTTGCCTGGTCTCTTTTTGATAGTTTATTGCCTTTTGCTCATGTTTCTTACGCCTTTTATCTCTCTCTCTCTCTTTTTTTTTAAAGATTTTATTTATTTATTTGACAGACAGAGACACAGAGAGGGAACACAAGGAGGGGGGAGTGGGAGAGGGAGAAGCAGGCTTCCCGCGGAGCAGGGAGCCCGATGCGGGGCTCGATCCCAGGACCTGGAATCACGACCTGAGCCGAAGGCAGACGCTTAACGACTGAGCCACCCGGGTGCCCCACGCCTTTTATTTCTTTAAGTATTTAAAACATACTCTTCTGGGTCTCATAATTTCATTCTCTGAATATCTTGGCAGGTCCAATTATGCCCGTTGCTGTTTTTGCTTATTTCTTATTTCTTCAAAGTTTGAATTGTAAGCTCAGCTTTTGCATATCTGTGTAGGGCTTGTGTAGTCTGGCTTGAGTGGGAGAGAGTTCAGCCTTATTCTTGCCAGGCACCCACCGTGTCACCTACTCTGGGCCACATTATGTTAATTTCTAAATTTGGGTTTCCGGGGTCTTGTGGCTAGTCTGAATTCCCGTCCTGTCCCTGTATGAGAGCTGGCCTGTGGTTATGAATTCTCAGGGAGACTTTCTCTTTCCCAAGCCAGAGCCCAGGCCGAGGCAGAAAGTTTTCTTATGCTCTCTGTTAGTAAAAAAAACACTCTTCGCTAACAAAGCGGTCCCAGGGTCAGCGAAACTATGGCTCCCTGGCCAAATTTGGTGTGCTACCTGGTTTTATAAATAAAGTTTTATTGGAACTTCTTATTTACCTGTTGTCTGTGGTGGCTTTCACACATGGTAAAGTTGACGAGTTGTGACGGAAACCTTATGGCCCTCAGAGCATATGTTACTTACTCTCTGGCCCATTACAGAAAAAGTGCGATTCTTCTCCTCCCCGGCCCACCCTCTGACCCAGAGGCCCAGCTTTCTCAAGTTCAGTTTTAAGTTACCGTCTTTCCAGGTTCTGAATCTTTGTCATTGTCGCCATATGGTGGTTAAGGACCAGCTAATTGAGCTCCTGATTACCCCTCTGGTTTTCAGCTTCTCCTTTGGGTTTGGTTTGGGTTTTTTTTTTTTTTTTGACATTAGTAATGTTCTTTCTTGGAAACAGTAACAGTCTGTGTAGTTTGCATTTAAACAAACTGTCTTAAACTCGAAGCTGCTTGAGGTCAGGGACTGCCTGTCCTGTGCCTCCGCTTCTGTCCTAAAGGAGGGCGTGCAGGAGCTGTTGGAGCCCCCCTCCCAAGGAACAGCAGGCAGGACGGGACCCCGAGTGTCCTCCTGGTGCCGGCAGCCATGTGGGTACTCCACCTCCCCACCCCGAGTGTCCTTCTGGCGCCGGCAGCCATGTGGGTACTCCACCTCCCCACCCTCGCTGCCTCCCGCAGGCCACTCACTCAGCACAGGCTTGTGGCTCGGGACTTGGCCTCCTGACCCGGTGAGGTCCCCTGCCGCCTCCTCTCAGTTTTGAGGCGGTGGACCTGCCCGCCTTGCCCACGGGCCGGGGCTTGCCTTGGTGTGGGCAGGAATGAGGACTGCAGGCCAGGAGAGCAGGGAGGCTGCACTTTGTCCTCGTGAGGTCCTTCTTGAGCTGGAAATGTGCTCTCTGTTCAAAGGGCTGCCTGGTGGGGAAAACACGGCCTAATCAGTGTCATCGCTTCTGGATGTTTGCTGTTCCTCGTACTTGTACTTTGTGGGGGGTGGGTGAGAAGACAGGTACAAGGGACGCTTCCTTCCACGGAGTAGACACTCCAGGTTTCTTGAATTTAAACACTGGTGGGTCTGTATTTAGGATTGGCTGTGCAGCATTGGTATTTGTGGTCTCTGGATATTATGCTTCCAGGGTGTGTTTCACTTGTAAGCCAGTCCTAACTTATGCCACAGAATTATCTGTAACCCACGAGAGGGACTTTGTGCTCCTTGCTCATCCCTGCATCTGTCACACTCTGGCTTGTCAGTGCCCGTAGTCTTGTCTCCTTCGGTAGTCTTTAAACCCGTTCAGGACAGAATCTGGGTCTTCACTGCCGTGGTAACCCCAGTTTCTAGCTCAGTGCCTAGCACATAGTAGACATTCAGTAAATATGTGTTGAATCGAGCTGAATGTGTTTTTAATTTATATCTTTCCTCAGGAGTAAATACATTGTAAGGTACTTCTGTGTTTATATCTTAATTTCTTTGCTAACATTTACTTCCTCAATAATTTAGAAAGGAAGTCAAGATATGCCTGAGAATTACTTCACTTTCTTCCTAAAACACACACACCCATGTGCGTGCGTACATGTATACCACAAAATCAACCCCCAAACCTTATGTGTTAAACAAGGAAAATATAAAGCCCATTTTTTTATTATATAATTTGTCTGATTGCAAGTTGTATTTTAAATGCCTTACAAGAGTTAAGTGAGGTCTGTAGCTCAGCTGACATTGAGAGCTCCATCAGTTTCTGGCTTATTATCAATACCTTATAGCCTTTTGGGATGAGGGCAGAGTATAGATAAATAAGGACAAATATATTTTTTGTTATAGTAGGTGTTATCTCTTTGTATAGTGGATATAAAAAACTACTTAAAAATCATTAGATGTATTTTTTCATAGTTCAGGCTACTACACGATTGGTTTGATTAGAATAATATTCTCCTTGTGTCAGTGAAGTTCCAAGTGCTAAGGACACAGCTGAGACACAAAATAAGCCCTTGCCCTCAGAGGAACTCATGCATTACTGTGTTCGTGGGTGTGGGTGTGAGTGGGGGTTTAGGGAGAAATGCAGAAAAAGAAATATGTCAGGTGTTGATCAGTGCCCAGAAGAAAAACAAAACCGTGTAAGGGGAGTAGAGTGAAGGTATGTATGTGTGACATTATGATATATGGGTGTTGGGTGACATTTGAGCAGAGACCTGCAGGGAGTGCTGGAGCCCCACAGTGTGTGGGAGAGGTCCAGGGCAGGCTGGCTGCTGGTTGGGCTGATGGAGTCAGTGTGGGGAGGTGTGGAAGCCGAGGCCAGAGACGCATTGGGCGGGGGTGGGGGGGGCAGGACAGGGGACTGTTGTAGGAAGTGGGGACATCGATGCCACTCCAGTGGGAGGCTCTGGAGCTCTCAGAACCCGGGAATGATGGCAGTTGTCTGACTGAAGTTTTAAAGGCATCACTCTGGCTTTCATGTGGAGAAAAAGGTGTGGTGACACTGGAGACCCATTGGAAGACCTCCGGGTTATCTAGGAGTGAGGGGGTGGTGATAGGTAGTGGCGGGATTCTGGATCTTTTTGGAACGAAGTTAGAGAAAACGTAACCTGAGTAAAGCAGTACTGTTATTTTGATTATGCTTTGTTCCATTACCCACCCACCCCCCTTCCTGATTCTTCAGCAGAAGCCAGACTGAGTGTAGCTCCTGAAATGGACATCATGGACTACTGCAAAAAAGAATGGAGGGGAAATACACAAAAAGCCACATGTATGAAAAAGGTATGATGCCTAGATATACGAAGTTGCAAGTCTTTGAAATAGTCTGTCATCAGTACTTACGTAATATGTCCTTTTATATTTTTAGACGTAGTTACTTTAGATCATGTAAATATTGGTATCCTAATTCTAGAGATGAGGAAACAGACTCCAAAGGTAAGGGGCTTGTTTCGAGTCACAGTATTAATATAGGGCCAGCTTTAGTTGTTCAGTAACTTTGTTTCTTTGAAAAACACATCTAAACAACGCTGTGCTGTTCAGAGTTGGGCCAGTCATTGGTTGTCCTCTTGGGGTCATTTGGGAATGTCCTTCTGGCCTTGTGTGGTAAAAGCTTTAGGGACGGGACCAGCAGATGCCATCCCAACTGCTGTCCCTACCGGGGTCTGGTCTCCTGCCCTTCTGTCCGAGGGGCCTGGGCTCTCCCGCACTCCATGTGCAGAGGGATCTGAAACTAATCCCTTCGTTTAAGGTGCCCCTGGAGCTGCCCCTCCTGGTCCTATCATGTAGACTGACGACCCTTAGGGAGTGTCCAAGGCTGTGGGACATTGGGGATTCCTGTGACGTGGTCCTCCTGTGACCGGGGCCACTCTCAGTCATAGTCGGGCCCACTTTCACTGCACACTGGTCAAGCGCAGCCCCCTATTGGTTCTGCCCTCGATGTACCCTGGAATCCAGCATTCCTTAGTGCGTTGAACGATGTGAAATTGCTACTCTTTGACCATTTCTGAGCTACAAAAATGGCAGTTTCGACCTAAAACTTCCACCACCTCTTATAACCTCTGGGTTTATCCTTTGCTCTTTTTTCTGTTGGGATTATTTATGTTGTGAATTTGAACGTACTTCTTTTATATTAGAGATACCTGTCACATTTGATAGGACTATCTATCTTGTTGTTTAGATCTGTATTGTTTAGGGCTTAAGATTTTTTAATATTTGTATATATCTGTTCTTTTCCTCAGAGGTCATTTTTATAGAAAACATTGTGCCTCTTTCACATGCCCTGAAATGGGCTGACCTTCCCCAGAATGTAGCTGCTACTTAAAGCTCTGAGAGCCGGTGTGAGCCTTGCTCCCGGCCAGTCTGAGCTGTAGTCTCTTTGTGTCTCGGGCACTTGGTAGAGACCTCCATCATGAAGTGCCTGTGACTATGAACGTTTACATTTGTGAGGCCATCTGCTGAATGTGTATATTTTGGCCACTTACAGGTTTTCCAGACTTGAGCCCTGTATCAGACTGGATAACCAGGAGGCTGGATACCTAACATATGTTTTCTCATCTTTCCCGGAAATGCTTTCCCTGACTTGCGGTTTTATTTTATGACCCTCAGACTCTTTAAAGGATCTTAACAGTTGGCACCACAGGGTCCATAACTCGAAAGTATCTATGAAGTTATCCAAATGTTCTGTATTTTGGAACTCATGCTAAAACCCTTTCTCTGTGATTTTAGTTTGAGGGAAAGATTTGACCATGTAGTCAGACTCTTTCAGTGACCAAATAATCAAAGGCACATCAGTTAGACGAGTGTCACTTTGGGACCCGTGGCAGTAATTAGAGCATCTCAGGGGCCCTGAGATAACAGTTTGGATCTCAGTTCTTTTTTTTGTCCTTATTTATCTTACAGTTTATTTTTGTTTTGGATATTCTTTAGCAAGTAAGTGTGTATAAACCCAAATTTAATTTTAGAAGTTTGATTCACCTCTGAAATAGTATGAGTAACTTATGCGTTTGGAAAGATGCAGTTACATTTGGGTCAGCCATCGAGAATATTCCCAGGGTAACTGGGAGTCTGCCGAAGGGCAGAGGTGCTTGGTGGGCCCTTAGTATGTCGCAGCGATTGGAGCGCTGAGTGAAAACGCGACTCACGCCCACTGAGAACATCATGCTATGATTTGAACCTTGAAAACAACTAATAACAAGGGTCCACTGCTTAGGCAGAGTCTGCGTGGCGCCCACCCCACGACGAGGGCGATGCTCCTTCCTTTGTGTAGGGGCAGGGTAGGAAGCAGAGTTTCAAGTGACTGTCACGGATGAGCAAGATGAGCAGAAGGGCCCGCAGGATGAGGCTAGTGAAGTGCAGGAGGCCGCGAAGTCGATTCTGATGCTCGAGCATCATCCGGCTGGAGAAATTCGGTTGTCCTGGTGCCCGTGGACCATTTTCTGGTGGCTGTTTTTGGAGTATGCTTCAAAACGGTCCCTTTGGATGGCTGTTTTTGAGTGACAACACATATGTCACCCAACATTTTCATTTCCTCGTTTCTCTTCCAGACCGAATGACACTTAAATCCACTTTGTAAAGAGTCTGATAGAATGATCCAGACATCTCCTAGCATGTAGACTGTTTTTAATATATCATGGAAACTTGGGATTTTTTTTTTTTAATTTTTTAAAATTCAGAGGTATAAACTTAGTACTTCTCTCTGTTCTTTCCTATCTGTTTATTAGAGTTAGGGTCACTTTCCACACAGATTAAACCCCTCAGGATGTTGGTTATCAATAAGTGAGTGTTACAACAGTTGTTTAGAAAGGGACATCTAACTCCTAACCTCGGGGGTGGCTAGTGTTTTCGTAATATTTGGTGTATATCATTTATGTGTTCCTGTGTGTTGTATCGGTTACATATGCTGATGTTTTGTACAGTATTAACATTTGGTAATTTCTTGTGACTAGTCAGAGAAGAACTTAGAGTGGCTTGTGTGAGGGACTCAGCCAGCCTGGTGTTCATTCTTCTGGGGATCAGGGGCACGTTTTTTTCCCGCAGGAGTAAAACTTACCCTACGGCCTGAAGTCAGTAATGACCATTTTGAACTCTTGGATGCTTTTACCCAGGGCTACGAGGAGGTGTCTCAGAAGTTCACCTCCATCAGGCGCGTCCGCGGAGACAATTACTGCGCACTGAGGGCCACACTGTTCCAGGCGATGAGCCAGCCGGCGGCGCCGCCCCCCTGGCTGCAGGACCCGGAGCTCACGCTGGTACGCTGCTGCCGCAGGTTTGAGTCCGCCATGTTTCCGACCGTTTCTGTGAGAAAGTGCTCCCTTTCCAGCCCGTGCCGGGTGCCAGGTGCCGGGCCCGAGCCGTGCCGGGTACCGTGTACCGTGCTGGGTGCCGGGACTGTCTGCCTTGTGATGCCAGCATGTGGCCTCATTCTAGTTTGTGTGGCAGGGATGATTTCGCATAATAAAGTGACCAAGGATAATGGCTGTTTATCCCAGAAGAGAAACGTGGTAAAATGTATTTGAACACTTCCGCTGAATTAGAGAGCTGGTGTCTGTAGTCTGTAAAAAGCACTTAGGAGCAGTTCGACTTCAGTGTTGGTGTCTGTGGTAAGTGGGCTGTCCCTTGTGCCATCTGAGAACCTGTCGGGGTTTTAGAATGCACGTTTTGTGGTTTTAGCGCCATTTCAAGACATGAGCACCTTCTGCATGGTGTCAAGAGGACTGGTGTAGTAGATGGCCCGTGTGCCCCTGGGGAGGCTTCCTGGGAGATGAGGCTCAGGGGATGTGTCCGTGCCTGGCCTTCTTTGTTTTAAATCTGCAGTGTGGTAGTGACCCCCTAGAATGTTGTGTCAGTGTGACTTGTGTCTATGACCTACATCAGATGAAGTCACATGATAGGTTGGATGATAGAATATCTCAGAGTCTGGTGGACAGGAATGGGCAGAACTGATAATAAGACATTAATTGGAAGAAAATTGGCAGCCCTGTGCTTAAAAAAAAAAAAAAACACAAAAAACACAAACACTCACAAAACTCAAGAGTGCTGGCTGTGGGAGATCTGCCTTAACGGCAGCTTACAAAGGTCATCAGGATGCACTGATTGGCAGCTTACAAAGGTCATCAGGATGCACTGATTGGCAGCTTACAAAGGTCATCAGGATGCACTGATTGGCAGCTTACAAAGGTCATCAGGATGCACTGATTGGCAGCTTACAAAGGTCATCAGGATGCGTCGATTGCAAGCTCAGTCAGAGCCCACATGACTTGCGGCCGGCAGTGAACACTTCTGAACCACAGGCAGTGGCTGTCCCGTCTTGAGCTGGGCTGGTTAGATCCCATCTTGAGGGTTTGTGCCTGTATCCTCAGTGCAGAGGGGAGTGTGACTGAGATGATTCATCTTGTTCAGGAACTGTTGAAGGAGCTGGGGTATTTGCCTGGAATTAAGACGACTTTTAGAGAAGGTTGGTTGCCAGATAAGCCAGAGATGAGGTACACGAGGGATCACACGGCCTCAAAGGGCACAGGCCGTGGAGGCCCTTGCACCCTTGTTCTCCTTCTGGCCCTTCCGCCGGTCTTCCCTCAGAAAGCCCGCTCTGACAGGGGCCTCTCTGAGTGAGCGAGTGGTGGCACGGCGGGACCGGCAGCACCAGGCGTGCAGGTGGAGGGGTGTGTGGCTCGCGGAAGCCAGCAGTGCGCCCCGTGGTGGTGGGGCACCTGGACCACCTCGCCGCAGGAGCGGGGTCTGTGCATCTCCAGTACTCCTTGTGTGACTGCAGTAAGGAACCTCTTTACTATAAAATACTTACTTAGTAACATACTCACTTCAGACGAGCAAATCAAGGGGTACGTTACTGCTGCTGAACGAGACAGTCTTACAGGAATTGGGGGATGAAAGTCATTTCTTACTCATCTTACTCATATATCAGAATAACACGTATCCTGTCAGATTAAGCAAAACCTTGCGTGCCCTTAGAGCTGGGTCTACATTTTTTGCGTTAAAGGTGGCATGGGCTTGCCATTGGAAAAACACTTGGAGCAGAGCCAGTGACAGTGGGTCTGTCTCCATTTACCCTGATCCTTGATCTTTTGGAAATGCTCAGGGCCTCTTCTGACCACCACCCTGTGTTCGGTGACAGTCCTCTGTCCTGGTTGGTTCAGGGCACAAGCACCTGTGGTTATTGTGTGTCCACGGGGTGTTTAGAAGTGTGGGAGCGCTCACCACTTCCGGGGACACAGAAAAGCAGCTCTCAGTAGGCAGGTTGAAGGGAATCTAGTTTTGCACTACTAGGGCCTCCCGAACGGCTCTATGTTAACCCGCCTCTTCCGCTTTTGGGGGGGGATGGTCAGAGAGGTCCCCCGGGACACCTAAGTTTGTGATGAGTCTGTGGATTCAGAACCAGACTTGGCCAGTGGCCTGCAAGCTGGGCACTGCTGAGCACCTCTTGACCTCATCGAGAATTCGGGCAAGCCCAGAGAAGCCCTGTTTTGTCACCAATGACAGGCACCCTGCAGCTGGCTGATCTGCTTCTGTTTGCAGATTGAAGTATGTTCTCTGTGGCATTTTGCCATCTTCTCTCTCTCTCCCTCCCAGGACGTCATTGGTTTCAGAACATTAAAAGGAAAGAGGCGAGCTAGACTTGAGAGACCCTCCCCTTAATCTGAACTTGGTGAAAGAGACCCTTTTTCTGCCCACGCTCGTTTCCTCTGGCCTGGCTTCGTTCTCAGCCTGGGGGGTTGAGCTTTGCCCTCGCTGCCCCTCTTGGATTCCCTGGGTCCAGATCCCTCTCTCTGCATTTGACTGCAGTTGATCATCTGACCCTGACCCCAGCGTTGGAGGTGGCTTGGTCTGACTGTTCTGAAACTTGGGGGCAGCACCTTGGTCCCTGAGAGGGAGTGTCCTTCAGGGCAGGGATCCTTTGGTTTTCAAGTTTACTAAGTTTTAGAATGTCTCTGAACAGGAGGTACCTGTGACAGTGTTTACCAAAGCTCTTTTTTTATGAGTTATTTTTGGGGACACATCTTTGTTACCCCACAGTCCTTTTAATCATGGTGATGATGTCAAGAATTGTAGACAACTTGCTGGAGAAAACGAGAAGTTTAGTAGAGGCACAAGTGAAATTCCATCTAAGTCAATTACCTACCTTATTTTGAAATATTTTCAATCATGGTTTCTTGTTTGTTTATTTATTTTTTAAAGATTTTATTTATTTATTTGACACAGACCCAGCGAGAGAGGGAACACAAGCAGGGGGAGGGGGAGAGGGAGAAGCAGGCTTCCCGCGGAGCAGGGAGCCCAATGCGGGGCTCGATCCCAGGACCCTGGGACCATGACCTGAGCCGAAGGCAGACGCTTAATGACTGAGCCACCAGGCGCCCCATGGTTTCTTGTTTAAATCTCGTTACTTGCTTAAATCTCTCTTACTCTGACAAAAGTCCAGTCTCTTTGTGTGTCATAGAAAAGAGTGGTTATTTATGTGTTTTCTATGCCCTGTGACTCTGGAAAGCATTTAAAGTTAGATTTTCTTTTTTCTTTTGAATAAATTACTCCAAATGCATTATTCTTTCCTCATTGTTTCTTTCTCACACCTCATTTTTCGGACTCTCTCCAGGACTTCCACATCTCCCAGAGGCCTACAACCTTACACTAGTAACAGTTTGCCCCGTGCGTGGAAGGAATGAGGAGACGGACTTTTATTTCAGGGTTTCCCTGGATGTAGTTAGAACTTTGGGGTCTTCCAAGTGATTCAGTTGTGTTTGTGACTGCTGCTGGGGTATGTGCACAATGTCACGTAAGGCTTCGATGGCCTTCCAGGCTTCTCTCTACCCCATTTCCCCGCTTACGTGCCGTATTTCCCGCTCCGTGCACGTCTTGTGCCCAGCTGTGATTTCAGCTTATTGCCACTTGGGGGCATTTTAGGTTCTGGTGATAAATCCGAGAACCTGAATTGAAGGTTTGCAGCAGAACCACCCACATGTTGCTGAAATGCTGGGCGAAATGCTGGGCGGTGTGGGCACGGAGCTGGGGTGGTGGTAATAAGATGGGGAGAATGCAGCCGCTCCCTGACCTAGTGAGTGATTGTAAATCACCGTTGCTGTGGTAACGTTACCTGAAGAGGAGTTTACACACCTGCATGGCAGTTGTGTTTTGCAGAAATGGAACCACCTTTGTTTCCCATGATGGCTGTAGATTGAGAAGGTAGAGCTAGAATCACCCTTTGTACAAAGAAAGGGTGTTTAGAGCCTTAGACTCCTGGGGAACTGAACACATGTGGCCTCATTTAAAACTGTATTTTTGACTGTTAGATGAGCTCACGTTCGTCGTAGGATGCCGTAGGAACGAATTCTTCTCTAATGATGGTTTGACTTGGTGAACTTTCTTTGCCTGTCTGGGTGTTAGAGCAGTGAAGGGACATGCCCGTGCCCGGCCTCGTGATGAATTTTCTCCTGACACACCCGGGACGTGGGGAGTGTCGGAGTTCCCATGCTGTCATCGGTCACGTTGTGTCCCAGCTTGCCTTGCAGACTCCAGATTCTGTGGATGATTAGGGGAAAACAAAACATGCTCCAGAAAAAAAAAAAAAAAAAGGACAGGCAAAGGAGTAGCTCAGCTGTCACTTTAATGAGCTGCCCCTGCAGCTGTTAACCCCCGCGGCTTCTTCTTCACTCTGCCTCATCAATACAGTGAGATAAAAAACAGTTAAGCTAGATACACATCGTTTTTGTGACTATTAAAGCTTTTGGGGATATATGGTGATGTCGGAAGTTAGGCTTTCTTTTTCTAATGAGGAAAGCGTCAGGTTTTTACTTTATTCAGGACCATCTCGCCTGCCCGCCTGCCCGAAGCACCTTCCTAAGTTGGGCTTTAGGGAGTGGCAGGGAGGCTGTCCGTGATCCCAGTAGCGACCTGGGTGGGTTTGTTAAGACAGCGGTGGGGACACTGCCTTAATGTCCCCTCACAAAGTGCTGTGGAATGTTCTGGCTGTGGTCAGAGCTGAGCAAGGTTGATTGTGTCTTTGTTATCTAAGTCAGAACCACCATTTCCTTCCAGCAGACAAATGTGCGGGGAATTAATTCTGGAAACGAAGGTAGGTTTTGTAGGCTTTGTGGTTTCTACAGGATCCTGTAATGGATTTCTTGGAATGTTAACACCTCTTTATCTCTCTGTTTTTTGATAATCCAGTTACCGGAAAAACTCATAAGCAAATACAACTGGATCAAGCAGTGGAAACTTGGACTGAAATTTGAGGGGAAGAGCGAGGACCTGGTTGATAAAATTAAGGAGTCCCTCACGTTGCTAAGGAAGAAGGTTTGGAATCTGTAGTTTTTTTTGCTCTGATAAGTGCAAAACTCTCACTCCTGATCACCCCAGCAGACCGCTTCTTAGTCCTCACGTAGTGGATTGCCAAATGCCCATGGCTGGTATTTAGACAACGTAATTTAAAGGAACATAAACTCTTCCTGTGAAGTCTTTGGTAAAATCGAGAAATATCGACACCATTTATCGTGTTTAGTGAAATGTTTAGCTTTCTTAAAAGGAACTCTTAAACGTGGTCTTTGTTATAAGTCATACTGACAAGTTTCAGGGATAGTCTGTATTTAGTCTCTATTTCTTAGAGTATTATCAATGATGTGAATGCATATTCATTAAATTCTTTCCAGTTATGTTCATGTTTTAAGATTCTGTCCCTTTTTAATAGACTTGTTTTCATTTCTGAATGATTGTTAGAAACTTGTCTTTATTTTTTCTAAAGGCTTAATTATTTAGATTCAGTAACTTGTCTTTACTTTTTTTTTAAGATTTATTTATTTTAGAGAGAGAGCACACAGGAATGGGAGGGGCAGAGGGGGAGGGAGAGAGAATCTCAAGCAGACCCTTGCACTGGGCATAGAGCCTGAGTCGGGTGGGGCTCAGTCTCACGACACTGAGATCACGTTCAGAGCTGAAACCAAGAGTCAGATGCTTAACTGACCGCACCACCCAGGCACCCCAGTAACTTGTCTTTTGAAAACTTTCCTGAGGGTTTCTCTGAAACAGAATTATAGGGTGAACTTGGTCAGCTGATTCCCAGTGATTTGGTTATTAAAATACTCCCTTTCTGGAGTATTCCATGGGTTTTGGAGGTCCTGCTTGTACACTGGCCCACCTGGACCACTAGGTTGCTTGCCTTGGAAGCTCTTCACACCAGGAACCCTGAGTTGAGAGCCTGCTGATTGCTCCAGGCTTTGTAGATGAGGCGGGGGCGGGGGACTGGTAAGGAGACGTCAGACGGCTTTCAAGAGTCCTTCAGCACTTAGCCGACGTGTTGATCTGTTTCCTCCAGTATCGTCTGCCACACGGTTAGACTTTCAGCTCCATGAGAGTCTGTCCTGCTCATCCCTTTCACCCAGTGTCAAGCACCAAGCCTGACACATAATAGGCATTTGGTAAATACATTGTTCAGTGAATGAACTGAGGGCCTTAACCTCCTGGAACCTAGGTTTTATTTACAAACGTAAGTGTTTCATGGAAAGTCTAGTGATTAAAAAATTGTGACAGGAGAAGGAGATAGGGATTCTGTTCTCTTTGCCTCTTGGAGTGGAGCACGGAGTTTGCAGGGGCTGGGGACCCCAGGATCTAGGTTAGGTGAGGACTGAGAGCGGGGCCCTGGCTGTGTGGGTGGGCAGGGAGGCTCTTCCGTTCAGCCGCTGGTGACAGTTTCTTTTTCATCCGTTTTAAGGTCTTGTGAAAGTGTAATTTTTGCTGTATTAGGTGTATGTGCTGTAAGTAGATCCTCATTTTGGGGAATGTTTTGAGTGTTTCCTATTTACAGTAACATTAAAATTATTCATTAATAATCTAAGACAGCATTACTAGTACTTCCTGTGTGCCAGGCTGTGCGCTAAATGTTTCATGTGTTATTTAATTCTCATAACTACCAAGATGTTGTTGCTGTTGTTATCCCCATTTTAAAGATGAGGGCATTAAGGCCCAGATGTCTGTTAATGGCCAGCAAAAGCCACCAACTGCTTGGTAGCAAGGCCTTCATTCCATCCTGACTCTGTGACTCTAGAGCCATGCTCTTGACTGCCAGCTGGGTCTACTTCTGGAAAATAGGAGATGCTCCAGCTTTCAGCCACATATTGAAGAGAACCCTGTGGTACAGTCATTACCATTAAAATTTACTACTGAATTTAGAATTTTAATGGCTTTTTTTGAGAGGAACAATAGTTAGCGGTTATTCATAAGGACTAGTTCATGTTGGTATCTCTTGTCCTCATTCACTTTAACTTAAAAGCACATAATATTTATAGAGTTTTCTCGTTCACTTAAAACGTTTGCCTGTGTTAGCTGTATTCCTTGTACTCTGCTTTATTCTTAAGCAGGAGTCAATAAAAATTTCCTTGGTGGATGTGTTCATTTGAAACTCCACGTATATTTTTAGGAAGTTAGAGGGATGAGTTTAGTAAGCTAACATTCAAGAGACCTCACAATCTTCCTTGCCCATCTTCATTCTTGCAGGTTGGCTTGGTGTTTCTGGGTGGTAGGTGCTCCTGTAAGCCCCTTAAAGGCAGGTATAATTTTAGTTGCCCCTCACAGCTTCCCACACAGCCCTCACACAACGCACCTTGTTAGCTCCTCTGTAAGTATTTCTCATTGGTCCAGTCTCGTCGTCTAGGAAGTTAGGGGAGTTGGCAGTTCCATTCCATGGCATCGGTGCTTCTCCTTAGTGCATTGTACTTTTGTTTCAAATTAATGGGGGAAAAGCTGAATAAGGAATTGGTGTGGTCTGAAGAGTACCATTGTTTGAGCTAGAAACTTGAATGTTGTGAGCATTGGTACATGACCCCTGGTCGCCTACTTTTGAAAATAATTTTGTGCTCCTAGTATGGTAGTATGGAAACATACCAGGGGTTTTTAGAACAAACATTTAATTGTTATGTAACTTTCTTGTTATAGTGGGCAGGCTTGGCGGAACTAAGAACTGCCGAAGCAAGGCAGATAGCTTGTGATGAACTGTTCACAAATGAGGAAGAGGAATATAGTCTCTATGAAGCTGTAAAATTTCTAATGCTAAACAGAGCCATTGAACTATATGATGATAAAGAGAAGGGAAAGGAAGTTCCATTTTTCTCTGTGCTTCTGTTTGCTCGGGACACATCGAATGATCCTGGACAGCTGCTAAGGAACCATCTAAACCAGGTGGGACACACCGGTGGCCTTGAACAGGTGAGTTGTGCCTTTGGATGTGTATTAGTCCAAAATAGCAGCTTTAATCATTAAACATTATTTCACAGCTTTTGTAGGTCAGGAATTGTGGAGCAGCTTAGTTGTGTGGTTTTGGCTCGGGGGTCTCAGGAGGGTGCAGTCCTGTGTTGTTCAGGGCTGCGGTCATCTGAGGGCTCGACTGGGCTGGAGGATCCGCTTCTAACATGGCGCAACACCTCGCTGTTGGCAGAGGCATTATGGGTAGTTAGGAGGAGGGTTTAGTTTCTTGACACATGGGCCCTTCCACAGCAGTGCTTGAGTGTCCTTGGGACACGATGGCTGGCTTCTCCCAGACAGTGAAGTGATCCAAGAAGAGAGCAAGGAAGAAGCCACAGTGTGTTTATGATCTCATCTTGGAAGTTCCACACTGTTGTTTACACCATAGTCTGTTTATTAAAAACAAGTCCCTGAATCCATCCGACACTCAAGGGGAGAGCGTTAGGTTCTATCCACCTTTTCAAGTGGGGAGGGCAAGAGAATCGTGACTCCGTTTTGTAACCACCACGTTTATTTCAGCCTGGGCTTGCTTCTGCAGGATGCTGGATGGGATCGGTACCCTTGCGCCTGGCAGGCTACAAATAAATGAAGCAAAGGGTCTTATTATTTAATCTTGGCAGCTGTGGCCATATTCGATAGTGTCCTTTAAAAATAGAATGGGAGTCACCTTAGCCAGTAGAGACCAGCCTGCTCTCGGATCTTTTACACAGAGGCTAAGTTTGGAGTTCTGCACAGAGACCCAGTGCAGTGCTGTCCCGTGACTCACCACACCCTGCACTATCTTTAGTGGGTGCTCACTGTGTTATCTTAAAAAGCTTAAGTCTTTGTTAGTGGACTAGCTGCCTACTAAAGTAGCATTTAAGGCTATCCATCCAAAGTGCACCCTTTGTGGTGTGTAGCAAAGGACAAAGGCTGATGGTCACTGCCAGGTCAGGGCAGATTCAAGAGGACTCCTTCAAACAAGTATCTGCACTCAGAGTGTAGGCTCCTTCTGTCTCCTGAACCATAGCACGTCCCTTCAGTATAGAGCCTGGGGCAGGGTGGTCTGCACGTTGGACCGAAGTTAGTTCTTGTGGAGTCTTCGTGAAATCTACTGTAATGGCGAGTCCCGTTTTTAAAACAAAACAGCTGTATTGAGATATAATTTACATACCATAAAGTTTATCCTTTTGAAGTGTGCAACTCAGTGGTTTTTAGTGTGTTTACAGAGTTGGGCACCCATCACTGTAGTCTAATTTTAGACTGTTTTATCACCCCTAAAAGAAACCCCAGACCAGTTGGTACTAATTCTCCCTCCCCTGGCCCTAGGCAGCCACCAGTCTACTTTCTGTAGATTTGCCTGATCTGGACATTTCGTAGCAGTGGAATCGTACAATATGTGGTCATTTGTGACTCACTTCTTTCACTCAGCATCAGGTTCTCAAGACTCATCCATATTGCAGCACACGTCACAGACGATATTCCAACGTATGGACAGACTGCGTTCATCCGTCAGCTGATGGCCGTTTGGGGTCTTTCTGCCTTTTAGCTCTTACGAATAATCCTGTTCTGAACATTTACGTGCAGGCTTTTTGTGTGGACACATATTTTCATTTCTCTTGGGTAGATACCTGGGATATACTTCTTTTTTCCTTTAATTGAAGTTCATGTAACATAAAATTAACTATCTTAAAGTATATGACTCAGTGGTTCTTAGTACATTTATCAAGTTCCAAAACATTGTTATCGCCCCAAAGAAAACTTGGCACGTGTTAAGTAGTCACGCCTCATTATCATCTGATTATAATTGTTCTAGTGGGTGTGAAGGGGAACCTCACTGTGGTTTTGGTGTGCGTTGCTCTGATGACTGCTCATGTGCTCCTTGCCCATTTGCATATCCTCTTTGGATTAATGTCTGTTCTATTCAGATCCTTTGCCCAATTTTTAAACGGGTCATTTTTTTAAATTGTTGAGTTCTAAAAGTTCTTTATATATTCTGGATACAAGTCCCTTCTCAGATATGTAGCCCACTTTCGATGATCTGCTTATTGGTGACAGTCGTGCAGGGAAGGCTGGGGGCCCCGGGCCCACGCGGAGGAGGGAAGGTTGCGGCGCGGCGCCTGGGACTCTGGGCGTGGAGCAGGTGGTGGTGAGCTGCGTCTGGTAGGGTGGCTTCCCTCCGCTCACCTCTTTGCTCTCTTTCCCAGGTTGAGATGTTCCTTCTTGCGTACGCCGTGCGCCATACCATCCAGGTGTACCGGCTCTCCAAGTACAGCACTGAGGAGTTCCTCACGGTCTACCCCACCGATCCGCCCCTGGACTGGCCGGTGGTGACGCTGATCGCCGAGGATGACCGGCACTACAACGTCCCTGTCAGAGTGTGCGACGAGACGAGGCTTTGAGGGACGCGCCCGGATGGCCCGGCCACGCGGCCAAGGACCGCGGGCAGCCCCGTGGCTCGGGCCTTGGGTCTCTGGGTCTCTAACTTAGATGGACCTGTGGGAACTCCTGGGCCCCGTGAGCCAAGCTGGACTGGGCTGTTCTGAAGACAGCTTCTGATAGGAATTAACCAAGTGTTTTCCCTCATCTTTGATGCAGCATGTTTCAGGGGGCCCTTCAGAGCACTTCTTTTGGAAGGTACAAACTACATCTTCTCCATAACACAGGTCTTTTGTATCAGGGGAGACTCATTTTGGAGAGGAATGTGTTCTTTATGTCTCAAAATCAAACTTTTTAATTGTAAACTGGCTCTCCATTTTTTCTAAGATAGTAAGTGTCTGTTTCGGCGGTGATGGGTCTCTGCGGTGCCCTTCCTCTGGGAGGGAGTCCGTTACAGGCACAGTCCTAACGTCCTCTGATAGTCTTCTTGAGCGTTGGTTTGGATTTACATATTAATTAAAGCTATTCTAAGCAGATTGTCTCACAGAAGATTAAAAACTGGGTCCAAAAAGGAGTTACTTAAAGGCTGGAGAAGGAGCCCCCGGAGGGGACGTGTCGGCACCTGGAACTCCTGACTCAGAATGTGACAGGTGCCTGAGGTCACGGCCGCGCCTGGTCAGGTGCCTCATGCAGGTGCTGCGCTGTCAGCTGGGTGAGCACTGCTGGTAGTTGAACTCTGGCATCGGGCTGTTGATTCTCCGTTTCATAGATGTGCCATTTTATAGTCAGAACAGCGCCAAGATCCCCCTGCTCTTTTAGAGGAGGAAGCCAGGGCCTGATGACTTCAGGCACTCTCATCTGAGTTCCAGGGGTGGGGGGGCTGGGGGGAGGGGGGCTGGACCTAGGTCTGCCTGTGCCCTTTCCACGGGCTGTTTTTGAGGGTGCTTCCACTGCCTAATTCGTGTTCTTGCCGGGGGATGAGTCATAGCAAAGTGTCTTAAGATTTTTTATGAGTAAGATGAAGCAGAAGCAAGTACTAAAACCAAGTACGGAAGTGGGGCCAAGCTGCATTGGCCTGTGATTCGGTTTGGGAAGCCTGAGGGAGGAGGGAGTATTCCTGGCAGTGAGTGAGTGCTGCCCAGAGGCCTGGTTGAACACAGTTAGGGCCGGGGTCATCCACAAGGGGCATGGGCTGTGTCTCTTGTCCCCCAGGGACCAGACACGTCACTCCAGGGCTGGATCAGCAGCACCTGCATGGGCTTAGCCTCTCTGAAGGTAGTCTCACCCTGAGGTACCAAGCTTTATTTTATAATAAAGTCTTTATTTGGTTCAATTTAATATAGTTAATAAGCTATCACATGTTTTTGGGGAGTGGCAAACTGTTTTTGAAAATGTAAGTTTTGCTTTATACTTAAAATTCTTTTAAGAAAACTCAGAGGACAAACAAAAACTATGCAAACTGTTACATTAGTATTTTCCCATTACCTCATCAGTAGTACTCACCACAGTTTGGGAGGTGTTTATTCTTTAGAGTGTTTGAATTGGGTTCTGCTCCGAATGTGCGTGAATGCGTTGGAGAGGCTTTGTGGTTTTCACTGTGAAATGTAATGGTGCCTCGAATAAGGAGGTACCTAGAAGCCAAATTAAAGTAATAATAATGACTTCTTATTGGCTTTGATGTCTCATTTTAGCATTTGTAGTTGTACAGTAGGGAATGCTTACTGTTCATTCTGGAACACTTTTTAGAGCACGCTTAAAATGTTTCGGCACAAGGCAGTGGGGGTCTCTGTCCTCAGGGGGGGTTCACTGAGTCTGACTGTTGGTCCATACCTACTATTCAACTTAATAATATTCATGACCATCATTACATTTTGAAAATGTTCTAATCTTAGTGAATTTGAACTGAACTTTTGGGCAACTTAATTGTTTACGTGCGTACTTTTTTCTTGTTCCTGTGTGTGGTATTGTTAGAGCGTGTGGAAACTGTGGTCTTCACCACCACAGTGATGCAAGTTTGAAAGCATGTGTTTAGGTGGCTTTCTGACCCAAGGCCTTATGGACTCTGCTTTCCGCCTGTCGTGCAGACTTAGTGGGCTCAGAGCATCAGAAGGGCAGAGCTTTCAAGAAACAGTATAAATGATCGGCCGACTTTAAAAAATACCACTTCTTCATTGTAACATGCATCTTTAGTTGCCCAGAATCTTAAGTCCATGAATCATTCCTGGTCATGGGCTGGTCAGGTGGCCGCAGCAGGGGATAGAAATTGCACTGAGACCAAAATGGATGCAGGATAATCTACTTAGAGGGTTCTCTAAAATGATAGAGTGTTCTAGGAAAAGAGAAAGCACTGGTAACTACATTGGGCTTACTTTCATTCCCAGAGCTTATTGCAAGAGTTCAGAGATTTGGACCCTATGGTCTTGGCAGAAAGGTGATCTCCATCTTAAGCAGGCATGACTTACACCTTTGAGCTTATTTAAGGCACATTGAAACCTGGAAGACCATCCCTCTAGCAAGTTCCCTGGAATTAACATTGCTTCTTCAGGACCTCTTCCGGCTCCTCCCTCACCTGCTTAGCTCCTCCTGCATACACAGCACGCACTGGTTTCACTCCTTCCTGCACGTGGGACGGCCGTGACCACAGGGGAGGCCGAGAGGCCGAGGTGTGGGTTTGCACTTGTGCTCCAGACCTAGGTGGGGTTTGATCTGAATCTTCCTTAGAATACAGCATATCGGAAAACGTCTTAGACGCATCGGACGGGATTGACCCTGCTTTCCCTGTGGAGCCATTGACACTTGTACTTTATGTTCGCTATTGAGTGAAGTAAGGTCTGATGCAAGTTGTCAGGCATTGCCTTGGGATCTTTTCATTATTTGGTTCCTTCCAGTTGTAGGGCTCAGCATGTAAAAATCTCAGGCCACATGAGTCTTAACACCTCTGTCAGAAGAAACATCTTTTGTGGGTTATTATGTGCTTTTTTTTTTTTTTTTTAAGAGGCTGTGTTTTCCCTCCTGCCCTGCCGCCCCTTCCACCAAGGTGCCGTCTCACCTCTGTGTCTGTGGGCCGCTTCCCGAAGGTCTCCCGGAGAACAGCTGTCACGTGCTCTCTCTCTGGCCCTCTTGCTATTGCTGCAGGTGCATCGGACTCCAATAGACTTTCCTGGCTGTCTCCTCTTTCTGATGTTAAAGTAACGTTTGATTGTTTGATTTTCTCTATTAAGCAGTACTTTGTAGGTAGTCCCCCTTGAAAGCCCAGAAGTATTTTCAGAAGTCTACACCTCCAGGGAATCCTGTTTGTAGGCCTCCATAGAAATAAATGACTTTTTTAAAAAAGCCTGTGACTACTTAAAACACAATGAAAAGGAGGTCCTCAGTGTGTGTGAGGTGCATCTGAAAAGTGTGTGAAAGGCATAGAATCCCCATATCATTCAGCAAAAGGCAGGGCACAGTGTCAAGTAACTTACAAAAGTGGCCCAAGGAACTGTAAGAAGTGAATTGAAGAAGGAACTGATTTTAGAGTAAAAATGTCACTTAAAACAACGGGGCGCCTGGGTGGCTCAGTTGGTTAAACGCCTGACTCTTGATCTTGGCTCAGGTCGTTGCCCACGTTGGGCTCTGTGCTGGGTGTTAAGCCTACTTCAGAATAAGACAAAAAGGCAAAACAAATGGCTGACAGACCTCCTGGCCTACGTTATACGTGGATGAAAATCCGAATGAGTAGAAGGACTTCTGTGTATGGATTCTGCAGATCACTTTTCCTAAAATGTAGGAAGTTCCCTGTTTCACGGAAGTACAACGTTTAGTGCTTAACTCTTCTGGAAAACCCTGGTGGTCTCTTCTGGGGAGGTCGAGAGACCAGGGAGCCAGTGCTGAGTTGTGCAGAGAAAAGACAAAGGCAGCTGACGATTAAGGCCTTTGCCATTCAGTTCATCACGTGAGGCCTGGAAAAGCCCAAAACTAAGTGGTCCAGCTGCCTGCGGCTGCAGTGAAGCAGGGGTGGGAGCAGTAAGGGTAAGGTGGCCGCGGCCCTGCCCAGGAGGGGCCGGTACACATCAGCGGGTCCGCACCCAGGTCCCTGCTGGGCCCAGCAGCACTGCGGAGGGCCTGAGGGCGGTTGTCCCACTTGTCTTGTTTCCATGGTAAATTGAAATAGTTACTAGGAATGGTGGAATGGGTTAGTTCAGTCCGGAACTATAGATGTGTTCATTGCACTGAAGTACCATATCAGCAAACCATTTTATCACATAATGCCTCTGTTCCCAGGCCTATGGGCACCTATGTATTTAGATATTTTGAATGCTCAGGACTAGCCAGGGCTATTCATGGAGGAGAACCCCGGCTGGAGTTTTGTTTCAGTCACATTGATTTCTTGGGTGTAAGTCTGGGTCAGGAACGAAATTGTCAGAACAGGGTTAATACAAGGAAGGAAAGGATACGGGGCTCGAAATATCTGTGGTCTTGGCGGTCATTCTAGTAACCAGGGGTGGTCGAGCTTAATTGTGAACTTCAAAATCATTTTTTTGTACTTAGATTTTAAGAGCTTTTCTATAATAAGAAACGCCTTGATCTGTATGCCCAGAAATGGTGCTAACATGTGGTACCCTTTACAGGAGCTCCCGCAGTCCACGGGACCGTGCGTCACTTCGGAGTGTTTCCGTGTGGGTACAAAGCCAAAACGAATGTATTTAATGAGCTCCCTCCTCATTGCCGTTGTTCTTCTGAGAATGTTTTGGTATTGTTACCTGCATTTTAGCAGCTTCTGACTTTCTGTTTGGTGAATTTGGAGAGGATAAGTCTTCCTTCCCCGGGGGCTGGGCTGTGCGGGGTGCATGGCCGGCAGCTCGCTGGGTGAGCCTGGCCCTACTCATCTGGGCCTGCTTAGCAAAGTCTCCTCTGTTTACACTGTAAAATGTCAGCATTTGTCAAAAACCTGTTCTCTGAGGAACGTGCTCCTGAGGCTCCAGTCCGTGTGGGGCCGTGCTTCCCACCTACATCTGTGGCGGGGTACCTGGCTTGGGGTTGGGGGGGTTCCCCCTGTGACTCGTTGACTCAGGTCTTCACTGGTGGAGGCTGAGCCAACTCAGGGCTTCACTGTTGATCCCCTTTAGCAAACCTGGCCACTGAGGATTGTACACATAAATAACCAAAAATAAACGTAGAAAATAAAAGATCAGAAGCCTGGCTGTGTTGCTGTGTTGCCTTTGAGGACTTTGGGCAATTCGGGTCTAATACTGTAACTTTCTAGGCGCCGCCCCCCGCCCTGGACAGGCCCGTGATGCCCATGACTTTACGGTGTCAAACCTATAAGTAAGTGCTGCAAAATAACGAGGTGCCTCGTTCTGGACGTGGGTCTGGATTCAGTACCAGCCAGTCCTCTCGCCTGTGGTAGCAGTGGAGTGAGGCGCACGCACTGACAGAGCCTCCGAGGAAGATCCCGTGGGCCTGCAGGGCCGGGCCGCAGCCACAGGCCTGGCCCAGCCTTGCCGGGCGTTCGCCCAGGAGAGGCCCGTGGGGCCTGGGACGTTCTGGGTGTTCACCGACGGACGCGCACCCGGAAGTTGCACAGTGGGAACGACGTACGCACTGTGTGTGAACTAGACTGCCCC